TTTTTTTTTTTTTTTTTTTTTTTTTTTAAGAGGAAAGCAGGCTATCCACATTAGGAAAATGTGCGCGCCAGATGTCACTTACTAAAGAAAGAATGTGTGCATTACAGGTGACTTAAGTTGCGTTGGGCATCATTCTGTGGGGTGCATCAGAGAAAGCCTTGCAAGTATACGTTGTATTATGACAGAGAAATGCTGAGTTCTTGTTAAACTTCAAGCTATAGTTTACAACAGCCTTTACCACAACTTGGGCCACAACAGAAACACTGACAGACACAAGGTGAACTGGCTTTGTTTAAAAAAAACCAAAAAACAGGCAGGTCAGTCTGTCCCAATTACAAATAAAATGTGGAGAACAGTTATCCTGGGCTTCTGTTGCTTTGTCTGATACAATCAAGACTGAATCATATTCTGCCAATGTAGCTGTTGTAGACTGAACATGTAAAGCAATTATTACTGGTAGATAATCTTGGCAGAGCTTGTTCACACATGGGAAACTGCCAGCATTTGGCACGCTGTTTTTCTTCCAGCATCAATGCTGTTTTTCCTCAACACATCCAGTGTCATGTTGCACGATGAACAAAACAATTTACCACCATCTGCATGCAACCTTCCTACGCGGAACTGCCTTACATGATCCTGAGTTGAAGTGTATTTAGCTTTCTTGGTTTTCTTTTTACTTATCTTCAGACTGCAGCATTGCATCTGATTTCTTAAAAGTTAGTGCCAAAACCCTTTCACCCTCTTTCACCAAGTCTACATCACTAGCTCAGCCTCTCAGTAGCTCTCTCAAACCACATGCTCCATGGCTGCAGGGATTTCTGCACTTTCTTTGTATCCTGGTAAGCTTTTCTTTTCTTTTTTTTTAATAGGGGGAGGGGATTCTAAATAAAGATAGCAGGAAATGTTTTTCGCAGTGATTGTGAAAATTGCTGTTTTTGTGTTTTCTGTGAAAATTGCGAAATTGCAATTTAAGTAGATCCCTACATATAGTTACTGGTTTCTTATGCTAGCTCTGTTTTTACCGTTAATCATCTTTTGCTTGCTTCCTTACTGATTGCCTACGGAAGGAATGAATTTTGGGCAGGTAATATTCCAAGCTAACCTGCTTTATGGAGAGGGGGAACTATCATTTCTTTCATAATCCAAAAATATGGGGCTATGTGATCCCCTCATGAGGGGCAGCATAGATCCATTATTGCAGCCGCAGAGTCCATGGTAAGGGCAAAAGAACTGAGGTGCAGGGATAGGGAGCTCTCACAGCAACCTCTCTCTGTTCCCACTGTGCTGCCACTTGCCCCAAGGGAGAAACTCAAGCTCCAGGAGTCCCATCTCCCCCTCCCCTCTCCCCATGGATGGGTTTCTGACAAGTAGTACCGTTTGGGAGCACCTCAAAAGAATAAGACACTTTAAAAAGGTCTACTCTAAAACTGCGTTAAAATTATGGAATCCACTAACACCTCAAATGCACTCAAGTTCATAGCTAAAAATGTGTCACCTCTTCAAATTAAGAGTTTGAAAATAAGCCTGGATTTGTCTTTCATGCATACATGCGTGCATGTACTCACAAAAATTCTTCAGGCCAAATTATGTTCTCAGTGGCCACGGCCACCAAATCTACTTTAAAATGATGTCTGCCAGATCTGCTACATGTGTACAACATGGTCTTGGATAAGTGGTTACATAATCCAAGATTTCAGAAATTTACTTACAGCTCTGGATCTGCCATGACCATAAGGGATCTAACAAAAATAAGTGAATTTATGTATTTTCAAAAAGCATGCACTGAGGTTGCTTATACCTTGACAGGGTTGCAGAAGTTTAAAAATGGAGTCTTTCCTTACTTGTACAGGTTTCCCCCAGCCTCCCCTTTTTTGGATTCACCATGCAGGACCTGGGCATGCCAAGCATGTAGAGGGGAAATGTAAGCTTGAGGCCCTCAACATTATATTACTCGGGGAAGAACAAGACATACAAGGGTCCTCTCTGAACAAAAATTACCACAAGTATCTTGATGGTCTTGATCAGCAGCTGGATATAGCCCATCCACCTAAAACCAGTTCTTTGCAAGAGAAGCATAAATGTTCTCATCATAATGGCAGTGTTGAAAGAATGGTGTAGCCATGACTGTTCACAAATATATGCAAAAAGCACAGATTTTTGTGGGTGGTATCTTTTATTGGACCAACTGCATGACTGGGATAGACTTAGACAAACTTCCAAATGTACTTTTATTCTTCTTCAGATTTGAGGGAAAAGCAGGCACCTCAAAAAAATTAAAAGCAAATTTCAGGGCTGTGAAGTTGGAGGAGAGAGATTCCCAGGGACAGCAGACAAATCATAGAAGAAAGGATGTCTTGATTAATGGAAATCAAGACCTTTCAAAAGGTAACAAGGTCATTATCACCTGTAGCGTGAAGAAAAATTATCTGGAATCGGGTAGACTCTAGTAATGCTATGAAGTCAATATCAGTGTTCCATCCTTGCTTCTTAGTATCCAGCCAGTTTGCGAATTTGTTTCCAAGCTTGCCTTTTGAAGCTGTTCTGTAAATTTCCCTTGAGCCCAAAGATAGTGAAAGGCAAGTGGTTATTCTGTGAAAAGTGTTCTCCTGCATGTTTCTGCATCTGTCTTTAATCTTTTTCCTGTGATCATTCATTTTGGTGTGTAGTTTTAGTCTAGCTTCACCACATCATATCCATGAGGGCATTTGGTATGCTGGATGACATGTAGCTATAATATAGCATGCATTATAGTATACTACAGAAACCAAGGTCATTTCAGAAAAGATCAGAGAGGAAAATGGTCTCTATTTAATACAAGGGTATTAATACTATACCAAAAAGTCTTACATTTAAATAGGTTACAGTAGGAAAGGGAAGTGGATAAAAGGGACAGTAGATATTTGCTACCCAACACCTTTTAAGAAATATTCAGGATTTGACATAAAATAGCCCCGAAATTTATTTCAGTACGTTTTCAGAAAAATCTTAGGACAGACCAATGCAAGTTTATACTTCAGTAGAGCATTAAAATCTGAATGAAGGAAAAAAGTAGCATAAACTTAAACATAGTATTACTTTACCACCCCTTCCCCGTAATATTAGACGCACCTTATAACGTAAGTAGTCTTCTAACTTCTGTAAGATCTCACATAATTTGATCAAGCCCTTTGATGGGAGTTGACAATATATGGTTCCATCAGAGCAAACATTGGTTACCTTAACATTTGTATATAGAGCATCTACCTGTAACAAAGATTTGATGGAATAAGTTAAGCAGGCCTCTAGTACTATAATTCTCTATTGCATGATTTAAACTTATAAAACTTTCTTCTGAAATGTGAAATAAAGAATTAAATACTGGACAACAGTACCTGAAGATGCAGTTCAAGTGATGTGTCAAACAAGGCCTTCAAACAGGTAGCATTTATGTTGATATCATCCTCTCCTGATGTATCATACAGCACAACAAGAGGAATCTCACTTTTTTCCAATATTTCCACAGCAAATATCTTTCCACAGGTTTGTGATTCAACTATTTTCACTAAGACAGGATCATCACAAAAGACTTCCAGTCCTGCAAAATAAACATCTCATAATTCTTATACACCACTTCTTCAAATGTCTCACAGGGAATTACAGCAATTAAGCCTATGTTCTGTATGTGATCAGGTCCAAAAATGAGACTGCAACTGGAGGTACCCAGTAAAGGGAACATATTCTTTGCTACAGTTTTATCTTTAATGTACAAGAGGCAATTAGGGGGAAAAGTACCCACCTCAGAGAGTAATACAATATATCCATGTAAAAATATTTTCCAAGTGCACTCACAGCAGGTTTTTTATACAGAGATCCTAAGTATTAAGAAACCCATGAAAAAGGTACTCACTAGAGTCAGGAAGGGAAATAATTACTTGCAGGTAACTGTGAAAGTGCCGAGTGGAGAAATTTTGAAGTCAAAGGACAGTGCTGAATAAGCAGCAACTGCCAGACTTTTCCTGTATTAGATGTTCCTCAGGGATTTGCTTTCATCTCAGTTGCACAGGTTATTTATGTTACTTATACTGGAACTACCAAGGCTGCTGAAGCACTGACTTAAGAATTTTTAATCTCTAAGGCCACCTAACTACATACTCACTAGGGGTGTGTGATATGGGCCCTATTTGATTTGGATTCAAATCAGGGACAGTGATTTGATTAGTTGATTCATATCACTGTCCCCAATTCGATTAGGCTGAATACAAATCTGAAGATCCGATGCTGATTTAGAGAATCAGCGATTCAGCCACAGACACAGCTTTAAAATGTTTTTTTTACATACCTTGAGGCACCGTGTGCAGCTCGTGAATGCTATGATGCTGGGGTGGATGGAGCATCCCACGGGGGGGGGAGCGCGTGCTCGGCAGCAAACTCAGAAGTGCCCCATGGAATGCACTGGGGGCCACCCTGTGGTCCCCCCAGCTTGGTGATCGGCTGTAGGGGGACCCCAGGTGCCCCACCACCCTGACCTAGGAGACAGTAGTTGTCGAGTCAGGGCCCCCCCCCAACCCCCCAAGCACACTTCCTGGCAGACCCGGAAGCTTCTGATCCACTTCTGGGTCACTGCCGAGTGCACTGGGGAGTCACTATAGGACGCTCCATCCGCCTCACCTTCGCAATGTTCACAAGCCACCTGGTACCTTGAGATTTGTAGAAAAAACATTTAAAGCTGTGTCTATGTCCACGTCCAAAATCGCCAAATCTTTCCGAATCTCTCCAAATTGATTCAGAAGGTTCCAATTCAATTTGGAGACATTAAAGGGTCTCCTGAATTGATTTGGATTCGGAGATTTGGCCACCAAATCACCCCAACTCTCCATCGAATCAAATCAGTGACTAAAGCTTCACACAGCCCTAATACTCACCTATACAAAGATCATTTGATGTTTAATCTCTCACCACAGAGTTCTTAATATTCCAGTAAGACCCAAAGACATTAGTCAGGATTGAAGTCCCTTTTACCAAGCACTGAACACAAAACAATATAGTTCCTGTCCAGAAAGGCTTTCAATGTAATTAAAGCCGTGCTTAAAAGGCACTGGGCTAGGACCTGTATCTGGGTTCAGTTCCTAGCTCTGCCACATATGACAGGACAAACCACCTCAGGCCTGACTTACAAGAGTATTTAAGCAGCCTGAAGATGTAGTTAAGACAGTAGTGGGATTTACAGAAGGGGCTAAAGAGGTTAGGTGCTCAACTTACATTAAAGTGAATAGGATACAAACACATCTATCCTTAACATTCCATCAAATGCCCATCTAGATCTTTAGATGATTTAATACCTTTAATCAAATCTGGCATTTAGTTTCTTTAAGCTTCAACTCCCCATGTGTAAAGCAAGAAAATTTCCCTATGTTCCGTCTCATCTTAAACCTTGGGAGGCAGAGACAATTACCTTGGTACAGTGCTCAGCATAACGAGGGTCCAAAATTGTGGGTCTACAAAACCAGTAATATGAATAATGTGCAAGAGGCAAGTGTAGTAAGAGGGAGTGGAGGATAAGAATTATTAAATTTGTCCACCCACCTCTGTTCAGGGCCATGCAAAATCATGGTACTAGCTATTTAACAATTCTCTTACCTGCTAATTTACATTTTGCAGCTTGGAATGGAAGTGAATGGAACTGCTTGTCTAGTTTGTATACTTTGTTGTTTTCAATAAACTCACTGAAACCATAATCGACATAGCATACCTAATAATTGAAAGGGAAATACAAAATTATTCTTCTAGTTTTAAAGATTGCTCCAAGTATATTCTCAGTGGTATTGCATCCCCTGTCAGCTGTTAAATAAAAATGTGTTTCACCAACAAGATATCCGATTTGCAATAGTATTATAGACAAATTCTTCAGGGCAATGTAATATAAACGAGGGTTGCCTTCAAACTTTCTTGAAAGCACTACTGTCAGGCTTGTTGACCTTTCACTGGAGCAACAGTATTTAAAAGCTATGCAAAAGTTGCACCTTCCAGTAGGCTTGCTATCAAACATTGTATGCAAACCTGGTAGTAACACAGTAATACTGAACTTCATGTACATAAAGATCCCAGTTAAACTGATAAATATTATTCCAATGCAGTTATAACTTTACTATTTTCCCCTATCAAAGTAAAATGGAAATAGCTCAGTGGGAACGAGTGCTCAATGACAGTTTGAACAAGACTGGTAGTAATGATGCCTCATTCATTAGAAGCGTACACAGAAGGTCTTTTTCCCCATTCCCCACCATCTTCCTTAACTACATATTACATCATCTTAACACCGAGCACAGATGTCAGGGAGGTGAACTGAAGCCTTTCTGAAAAATTCTGAAATTGACACACCAGTTGGCAGCAAGGAGAAAAGAAGTCTTGTTTTCAGAGTGTGCAGCTGTTCTTGCAGCGCAAGACAGACCTCCATAATACTGGGAGGAGTGGGAGAAAAACCACAGGCCCATGGTTTTTCTTATTCTTATTCATGAATTTACATCTGAATATAAAACTTTTGGAATAGGTAAGCAAGTTGTGGGTGAGCTATGCTTATCTGCAGAATGAAAAGGTCTGTTAAGCAGATCCTGGTGCAAGATTCATTCTGACTAGGAAAGAAGAGACTCTGCATAAAGAGCACAGTTTAAGGTTAGCTAATATAATAGTACAGTGCCTTCACACAAGAAACGCTTGAAACTTCTCATGCATTTAGTTTGGTCACATTCTAGTTCAAGGGTCAGCAATGTTTTTAATCAGAGTGCCAGAAACACCCCAACCTCCATCCATACCTCAGCTTGGCATGCCAGAAGCAGGAGAGCCAAGAAGGGCCCGATCCTCGTTACTGGTGGTAGCTGTACACCCGTCTCTGGGCAGATGGTGGGGGAGAGGCTAGGGATGTGCTGCCCTGGCCCCTTCCCCACTGTGCATGCAGCTGCTGTGGAGGCCAAAGCTGCAGAGCCTGGCACAGGTGTTCACAGTCTGCCCACCACCTGCTGCAGCTGTTCAGAGCCTGGGCCAACTACAGCAAGCAGCCAAGAGGTTGCAAATAGCTGCCCTAGGTTCTGTAGCACCATGTGCCCAGAGGCCTATGTGCAGCCACAGAGCCGGTGCCAGGGATGTGGAGCCCTGTGCAGCTGTTTGTACTCTCCTGACTGTAGCCAGCCTGAACTCTGGGCAGCTGCTACCTGCCATGGAGCTGAGGCTGCTTGCAGCAGCACTTGCTGCCTCCCGGCTGCCTGCTGTGAACAGCACAGGCTCCATGGCCAGCTGCAGCTGCTCACAGCCTGGCTAGCTGGGGTGGCATGATGAAGGTTGCTGATCCCTGTTCTAGTCCTTTGCAACCAGAGCCAGGAAAAAATGCATCTGTTTGGCTCTACAGAACAAGGGACAAAGGGAAGTTGCAACAGCATAAGGAGTTTAAACACACATCTTGAAACAGGTTATAGACCAGAATGCAGAAGGTAGTAGCAAGACTACCTGATCTGAATAAAAAGTGCATGTAAGCCTGAGCTCACCAGTGTTAAATTGTCAAACAGGAAGGAAAAAGCAATAGTACTATAACTGGAAAGAAGGGATCAGCATTCTAAATACTGGCATTTGCATTCCAAACTGTAAGATTGAGATAGTGCTTCCAAGCCCCAGAAGCATGTTGAAGGTGCATTTATTAGTTTAGCAGAATGATTACAATACAGAGCACCACAGAAGACTCAAAATACATTCAGGAAGGGAAAAATGCTGACAATCCCATTTTCTTTAGTCAGAGAGAAGTAATCTTTAAAATCACTTAGTGTTTTATGCAATTAAGAGTAGAAGCAGTTTGTTGTTGTGAGGGGTTGTCTCCTCATGTTTTGTGTCTTTAGTAGAGTGCCAAAACATACGTATGCTTGCCTTCATTCTGTTGTCTTCAACTGCAATTATCTGAGCACGCAACCAGGCATCTTCTTCAGCATGTGCAGCAACAAGCTGTCCTGGACTTACAGACTGTATTAGTAATGCTGGTGGATTCTGACTATAAAATTCTTTCATCTCATCTTCCATCAGTTCCTGAGCAGCAGAATAGTCTTTTCCCACATACCTACATTTTTTTCCATGGGAAGAAGGGAGGAAGAAGGAAATCCACCAAATGTATTAGTGTAGGAACAGAAAAGTTCAATAGATACAAAAACAAAATAAAAGTGTATTTATGTAGGTAGACAGTCACTTTAGTACCTGAACTTTCCTTTGTCAAAAACAGAAATACACAAGGAGTGGTAAAGTGTTCACTGAAGTGAAGAACTGAATATAAACTTTATGAACCAGAACACAAAGCTACATACAAGTCTACAGAAACCAGCTGTTTCTGGAAATTTAGAATCAAATCTGACTTTGATTATCAAAGAAGACTGATGGTTGACTAACCTATCTAGCACAGCAGTGCACAACCTTTCACCTGCAGGTCAGATGGGCAGTGCCTTGTCCTTCCATAGGCCAGATCCAGCTGGTGGTCCTGATCCAGTGCGTGGGGCAGGCTTGGTAGGCACCATCTGGCCATGTAGGCCCCACAGGAGAAGGGGATATGGCCCAGCTCCAACCCAGACGAGGAGCGAGGGAGTGTAACCTGGCTCTGCAGGGGGAAGGAAGTGTGGCCGGGCTGTGGCCAGCCATGCAGGGCTCGAGGTTTGTGAATTTGGTGGGTGGAAAAGTGTAGCTGTATTAATGGCCAATGTATCCCCTGCAGCCAAATTTCCTGACCCCAAGGGGAGCCCCATGGGCAGGATTCCAAGGCTCTGTGGACTGTATTTGGCCTGCGGGCCAGAGGTTGAGCACCACCCTCAAGCAAGTTAAAATGCTCGATTAAGCATCTCACTTGCATTCTGCTCGCAAAATGATTCTCCCACACACTATTTCTAACAATCCAAAACTGAGCAGCTTCAACTAACCTCCTACCACGCTAGTTAAAACCCAATTTTAACCCGATTACATTTCTGCTGGAAAGATACCATCCAAACACCAGTCTCAACTGAGAGCAGGAGAAACACCAATCTTATCCATGGAAATAAGTAATATTGAATGTTATGGATAGTGCGGCAACCAGCATCATCTTATCCTCGAGTCTGTCTTACATAACTCGTGAATAATACAGAAAACAGAAAAAAACCGCAATCATGCCAGTGGGGACATGAACTACAATCATTCTTCCCCCATGAGGGCAGTTATTGAAGCACTTCTTTCTTCCCATAGCAGAGACCTGAAATTCAGGTAATAGACAATTTAACTCTGAAAAAAACTAATGAACTTCTCCAGAAGGCACGTGGAACTCTATTAAGGAAATATACTGCACCATTTCCAAACATGGCCTAGTCACCCAGAATGTCCAACTCCTTTCCAACAGCAACAATGAAGTCCAATCAACAGAAGTTGCAGGAGAAAGACACTTCTATCTCCAATCACAGTTAACATATTTCATTGACTTATGAGACAGGAGAGATGAAGTTTGAAGTACCATTTCTACCGCCAATAATCTAAACCTTAGGATTCACCCTTTGAAGAAAAAGAAGGAAATTTTGGACAAAAGAGTGCTATGATATCCAACAAGATCACTGAGCTAAGACATGGAAGATGTTTTTTTCCCTTGCCATTACTATTGGCTTGCTTTGAAACCTTGAGCAATTGCTTAAATTCTGTTCCTGAGTTTTCTTCACATTTTACAGCTGGGCAAGAGATGGATTTTCTCTGTCAAAAAAAAAATTAAGAGCTAGCTGCATCATTCACCACAAAAAGCAAAAAGGTAAGTCTTAATCTGTTGGACAGATCTATAGGTCCCCTGAAATGGTACTGTTAAGGTCTTCGATCAACAAGTTCTCAACTTCTAACAGGTCACCATCCCCCTTCCCTTTAAAAGAAATCTCAACTTCTACTCAAGTTCCTCCCCTTCCTGGAAAGTAATAAACACCAGGAGAAGTACCAAGCTCAGCTGGGCTGCCAAAAATTATGAACAGACTTTTTTTCATGTAGACTTTACTAACAGTGTTACTATATTTTCTCACATAATGCATGCCCCAAAATAAGACACGCACCTCATCTCTGGAATGCTGAATGAAGAAAAAACATCTTTCTTTAAAAACTTCAGTAAGTATCTTCACTGGAAAATAGAAGGGGGAGAAGGAAGCAAAAACTACCTAGCTGCAGGACACAGCAGGCACAGCTGGCTGTCCATCTGGCTCCAAGAAGTGCTGAGCAGTTCAGCTACACCAGGATGGGGCCATCAGCTGAGTTAAGCAGCTGTAGGATGAACTGAACTGCATGATCCCTCCTTGAGTTGACTAGTCCCAGAGCTGACTTGTCAGATGCTGCTGGGTGCTCACTCAACTCGAAGAAGAGTCAGGAGGTTTGGCTCCTACATAAATTGGGCTCTCTGCTCCATGTATCACCTTGTTTAACACCCCCCTCCAATTTCCAGGAGCTAATTTATGCAAAAAGGTGCATACCCAATTTAGTAAACTTGGCATTACTGTTTTTTATGGTGCAGGAAGTCTTCTAACTTAAATGTCAATGTCAATTTTGATACTGGCAAAATGTGAGAGAGGTGGAGCTAAAATACGGTGTCAAGTAAGAAATGCATGCTAAAACTATTTAAAATATATTATTCTAATATTATAAAAGCCTGTCTGTTTGCCTGTCCATAATGCTTTATTCGCATTGTGACTGGCTGATGGAAACAGCCAGAGTGCTCCAAGTGTGGGGGAGCGCCGCCATGATTCCGAAGCCGTGCCGAGGACCAGACAGAGGGTGGGGAAACCAAAGTCAGCAGCACTGGCCTCGGCTCCCCCACCCCACTCCCTGCAAGTGGTGCAGAAGACCGGACGGGGGTGGCTCCCCCCCCGCTCCCTGCAAGCAGCAGAACAGCAACAGTGTGGGGCGTTAGGTGGTGGCACTCCATCCCAGCCCTCTCCCCCATCATTCTTGACAGGCAATTGGCTAGTATAAAAATAAAGTCTCAGAAAGGGTTTAGCCCAGTTACTGGAAGAATAGCCTTATACCAGGGTCAATGCACACAGAATACATTTTTAATGAATTAGGTCTCTGAATGTAATCCAAAATTTCTTCATGTCAGAATCCATATTGAGAGCAATTTTAAGAACTTTCAAATTCAGCTTTGAAAGCAAATCTCAAAATTACATTCTATATGAACAGTTAAGGCACTCAGTATTACAGATTAGAACAGGAAGAAAGAAAAGCATATGGCATTTTCTCCAAGTCTGACAAGGACAAATAAGATCCTGTGGGGAAAGAAAAAAACTAGGCCTGTCATTCTTATTGACGCAACGTATGCATAAGGCTTGACTGCTTTAAATCTTCTCACTTAGGAAAATATATTTGATTACACTGGGCATTTTTTTAAAAGGCCATAATCACTGCCACCATTTGACTGACAACTGGCTGGATGGAACTGCAATTAATTTTGAGGTCTTAGTGGATATCAGACTCAACAAAAGTCAGCAATGTGATATAGATGCAAAAAGGCTAATGCAGTTTTGGGGTGTATCAACATTAGTATTAGGTATAAGCAACAGATGAGTATGGCACTACTCAGTACTGGTTAATCCCCATCTAGAATATTGTGTGCAGCTAAAAATGATGTGACGTGAGAGAGGGTGCAAAGGTGGGCAATAAAAAAAATAAAAGGGCTTAGAATGCAAGCCATATAAGGAAAGGTTAAGAGCAATATGCATGGTTAGTTTGCAGGAAGTGGTAATTAAAGTAGGAGGGAGAGAACATGATAGCAATTTTCAAATATCCAAAGGCCTGCCAAAAAGAAGAGAAAGAACACCTCCTCTCTCTCACTGAAGAGGATAAGAGGTGGAGCAATGGCTTGCAGCCGCAGTAAAGAAGGTTTAGATGGGACATCAGGAAAAAGAATATTCACTGCCTCTGTTCTAACAGTGGAGTAGACTGCCTAGGGAACCTGTGAAATCCCCTTCATTAGAAATTGTCAAGAAGCTGGATAGACATAGGTCAGTGATGATTTGGGAGTAGCAATACCTGTAGCGGGATGTGAAGAGGAACAGTTGGAAGTCCAACGACTCCGACAAATGCATCACTTGGAGATCGCAAGCAAAGAGCTCTGCAGCCCAGAGCAGTTGGATATAGGAGAGAACCATGTTCAGCAGCACAAGAATGAAGCTGAGCTCCACAATGAGCTTGATTATGAAACAAGATTAAAGAGTAGGAATTAGTTTATTGAAGGGATAGTATGATAGAAAGGGGAGCTCTGCATCTCCAGTTAGGATGCATGATGAGTCAAGTTCCAGTTGCAGGCCCCAGATTGCAAGATAAATAAGAGGGTGTTTGGTTCTCCTATACGTTGTGTTTGCTGGTTGCTGGGAAGGAATTCTTCCCCCTGCTTCTATGGGTGTTTTCAGGTGTTGTGACTGGTGGTTGTGCAATAGCGTTGTCTGCCCAGTTTAAAAAATTTTAAGCGTTTGTACACTTGCATGACAGTTTAGATATAGTTTTGCCTTGAGCAGGGTGTTGGACTTGATGACCTTCCAGCCCCACATCTCTACTTCAATAAAGCACCTAAATCAGACAAGGTGCATCTGCTGGGAAAACTAGTATGGGGTTTTTTTTTAAATTTTTCCCAATGTCACAGAAGATTTAACATTAGATTTTTCCTATACAGCCATTTTATGTGCATGTAAAGTTAACATAGTCTCTCTTTCTATGCATTCAGTAGGCATATAGTAAAATGCATTCTTTCTGTGTTACTGTTAGTTAATAATATATCTATCACTGAAATTTTCACTTCTCTCCTCTGAAGTACACTATCTGATCCAAGGGGTGAGAATGTAGACTACAATAAAGTAAGAATTTTTTTTTAAAAAAGTCTTATGAATTAAAACTTACCTGATGACAACTTCATTAGTGTTGTACAGCTCTACTATCAATACGGATGGGGATGCTTCAGCTGGAACAATTAAAGGAGGGACAGTTAAATTTTCTGGACACTGTTGCTTCGCCTCTTCCATTAGTAGAGCGTGCTCTTGCTCCACCACTGCCTTAATATCTTTGTGTATGTGGATATTTTCAGTGACATTCAGATTCTCATCAACAGACTTTTGCGGTTTAGCATAAAGGATTGCCTTTTTGGGATTGTCACATATTTGGTCCACAGTACAGACATCAGATAGTAAGTCAAGATTATTCAAAATATCTTCAGGAAATTTTATTTTGTATGCATCTTCATACACCTTGGGAAGTGCATTAGCCCAAAGACCACTGGAATACTTAAGCAAAATTTCTGCAACTTTCTGTTTGAAGTCACTGTTATGTGAAGCAGATTTGATCTCCATAATTGGTTTTAGCAAAGGGTCTGCTTTTGAAGAAGGAAGGTTTTGAGATTTTCTTTCATGATCTAAACCACTCTTTATAAAATGTTTTGTTTTCTTAGCAGGGTAAAGGAGTACATCTGTTTGCCCACTAGTGCATGCTGTTTCCACCTTTAAAAAGAAAAAAGACAAATCAGATAAATTATTTGGATTACATACAAATTAATAAGCAAACACTAAGTCACACATTTTATACACAGAGCCAGACCTCCTCAATCTTGAGCTATTTATTGTGCATTAATAGTTTTAATACCATCTCATTTCCTTTAAGTGTTACAGTCAGCTGGCATCCACTAAATGAAACATACTACCTGCCTAAACAGAGTATCTATCTGCCTTATTTTTTTCCAAGTAATCCACACCTTTATTTCCAAAAATCTGTGCGCGCACTATTTGCAAGGAAATACAGTAATACCGTTTAGCTGCCAGCCACAACAGAGAGCAGTGTGCAAGGCATTAGCCCTGGACCTGAGGGAGGCTGCAGAATCTGTTCTCAGCTGAAACTGCAAAACGCAACATTCACAATTGAAAGGTCCTAAAAACCTTCCTGGAGCAGCTGCAGGTAGTTCTAGTGCATCTGCAATCCATGCATTAGTGACCTACTGCCTCTGCAGATACTAACCTTTACATTATACCAAGGATCCCCAGTCCCCTCTTCAATGGATGAACAGTAAATTTTACAATGTCACCAATGACAAAGAAATGTGATGGTACATTTTTAGAGAGTTTACAGCTTGCCAGAAAGGCTTCTATCTAAAGATGGAGGGCGCGTGGCTGCAGGTTTGCAAGTTAGCTCATTTTCAAGAGCCTAGATGCCATATACAGAAAAGAGACTGTCTACCCTGCAATGAATTGATTAGGTGAAGCACACCAGCTCATGTGGAAAGGAAAGCCAGGAATTCAGGGAGAAGGTATCGGGGAAGATATATGTACATGTGAACAAAAAACACACTGGAAACAGAAGCAGCTAGAATGAGGAAAGACTATTTTAGATCCTTTCAAATTTTATCAGTTTGGACTTATTAAACTGTGTGAGAACTCCCATTGGGAGTGAAGCAGAATCCAATTAAATGGAAGAATATAGAGGGTGCTAGCAAAACAAGGCTACCATTTCCTTCCAGTGGCATCACTAATAAGTAAGTATGTGCTGCAGAGCAAAAAGTTGGTAGAACCGTGTCCCATGATGAAGCTGCATTTCTTTGGCCAGCACAGAAATGCCCGCTGCCTACCCCTGCGCTGAGGCACCCTGTGCCCCAACCAGCCACCTCCGCCCCCCACCCAACACATGGAGTGGCAGAGCCCCCATGCTAAGGCACGTGGAGATGAGGGAATAGGCAGCCCTGGGAAGGGCCAGCCCACAATTTTTTGAGGCCCCCTGCAAGATATAGTTTTGGGGCCCTTTGATCCATTGAAAAATCAAAATCAGAGTTAATTGCGGTATAAATTCACTGAAATAAGATAGTCAAGGCTGGGCTGTGTGCATGTGGGCTGCACAGGGTGGGGTGGGGGAAGGAGCCGGGAACTCCTGCCCCACTTGGCTGGGAAGGGACTCCCTGCTTGCATCAAGCCCTTTAAACATGGTGCAGGTGGCAGAGGATGAGTGCGGCACAGCCTCCTGGCTGCAGGGCCCCCTGCAGCCACAGGTTCTGCAGGATAGGACAGGCTGGCTGCTCCCCCATCTCGAGGCACACTGCCCCAGCCAGCTTCTTCGCTCCCATGCTCCACTATGGAGCTCCCATGCTCAGACTTGTTGAGCCTCTGTGCTGAGGCATGCCAAGGCAGCCCAGGGCTGCCTGCTCCCCCATCTTGAGGCACAATGCACTCCGGAGAGGGGTAGTCTGCAGCAGGCAGAGACGGTATGCCCAGTGGGCAGAGACGTGCTGCTCCTCAGATGTCCGGGGCACAGGGTGCCTCAGCATGGGGGCTGCCTGATGACTAGCCCCTAATGAGGCCCCCTGTGCCCCAGCCAGACCCCACGCAGTACGTGAAGCAACAGGACAATGTCTCCCACTATAAAGCACTTGGGTAGGGGTGTGAACTGCAGCACAAGATATGTGCTGCTACTATCTGTGCTGCTGCAAAAGCATGCCCCTGTTTATGTGGACCCAGTCCAGCATGCTGCTTTGGTACCAAGCTTTGTACTGTACTCAAGCTTGAGAAGTGGACGGGGCCACAAAGTCTCAGTGGGAGATCACCAGCTGCAGTAGCTTTATGCAAGATTTACCCCTTGAATTCTCTCTACTTCATCCAGTGAGGCTTTGTTTCCCCATTTTCATAGCATCAAAGTATTTAGGGTCAGAAGGGACCTAAACAGATCATCAGGTCCAACCCCCTGCCCTGGGGAGGAATGGGTGCCAGGATCATATCACCCAGCCAAATCTCTGTCCAGCCTCCTCTTGAAGACCCCCAAGGTAAGAGAGAGCACCACCTCCCTTGGGAGCCCATTCCAGAGCCTGGCAGCCCTAACTGTAAAGTAATGTCTCCTGATGTCCAGCAACATGTATAAGTATACTGCAAGGTAGAGAATCCAAGCTTGTGCTCTCTACCTAGTCAAAGGTATACTGGGAACATCTGTGATCGTGGCTCTGAAGCTACAGCCATAGCCTCATCTAGGAGACAGGAATGCAGCCTAGATTCTCTGTCTTTGTGGATTTGGGAGGTGAAGGACTGATCAAGTATTTTCTGAGACACAGGATCTCCCTTATAGCAGAGGCACTCCAAAATATCCATCTGTCACCAACATGACCCTATTCCAAGCGTGGCAATATCTAGAGGACATCATTCCAAGTCCAAAACTTAAAAACATGGCAGGTAGTCAGCAACCAACTAAAATACTATAAACCAGAACTTAACTAACACTAGAAGAAAGTTAACCATGATAGTAAAAGAAAATGTTTTCTGGAAGACTAAAGTCAGGCAGTAAGCAGCTGTGTCTCAAGCCAGTGGTAAGAGTGAGCATGGGCACAATCAATTAAGTCTGCATTTTATCTCCTCAGCAGAGCAGAATTCCTCAGGTTGTACACAAGCCATGTAGATGTTACTGTCTCAAGTCTCCAAGCACAGGCATGGGAACAACAAAACCAGGACATGCATCTGGCAATCCATCTAAAGTTGTCATTGTACCCATTTCCTTTCCTTGCGTGGATCCATCTCAGTTTGCTGGTTTGATCCACGGCCTTTTCAGTCTCTTTGAAGTCCAACACAGGGAAAATAAAAAACCACACTTCTTACTGCATTTTCCTTTTTCATATTAAAGAAACAAAACTTGTCAGATTTCCTGCTGAGTGCTTCTCATTTGTCAGAATGACTGAACAGGTCTTTCAAGGGCAGGTGTAGAAATGCATTCAGTGTTTAGCTGCCAACCAGCACAGTGAGAGATGTGTTAAGTGTGCCCCTGAAAATGATTTGCTGAAAGTATCAGTAAGGGGGCACTGCATATCACTCAGAAAAAAAACAAAACAAACAAACAAACAGTCTGCATTTCCATAAACTCAAACAAATCAGGTCAGCCCTGTTCCTCAAAACAGACACCTCACTTCTGGAGGAAGGTGACGCTGCAAAACATATACAGAAGCACCTCAAGTGCTATAAGTCAGTTACAGAACAGGCTCAGAGGATATTCGTCCAAACAAACATTATATGGAATATTTAATGTTTTTCCTAAATATAGTAGCTGTTTTTAAATGAAGCAGACAACACTTACCATGCAAATATGAGGCCAATGTTCAAGTTGTTTAAGTACATCTGTATTAAGTTCCTCCTCATACATCTCCTTGTAAAACTGTGGTATCTTTGATAACCAGATACCATTGCTGTATTTAGTCAGAATTCCTCTAATACGATTCTGAACTTCATTTACATTAGAATTAGGAAGACTGGATGGGATTTTGTGCGTTTCTTGAATAGGTTCATTCAAATGGTCTGTAAAACGAGAATAAAAAGGTGGTATGTATTTTGCAAAAAGTTGGTAAATTCACAATGAGAAGGGAGTAAAATATGAAAAGTAGAAGTAATCACTATTTGACCCAATTTATGGAAATTTAATCATATGGGCACCAACACAGATTATAAATAATACAAATTACATGCAGAAGAATTCTGTACTCAAACCAAGCAAAGGAAACAATATCAAAGTATTAGACCCACAGAAAAAGTAGGGATTGAAGGTGGGATCATCTATATCCAAACCATCTTGTACTTATCCACTGGCTAACCTATTGGTAAAACTACCCTGGTCAACCCTGACAGCCACAAGACAAACACCTTAATCTGTCACAGGTAAATTGAGGGGGACAACAGCTGCTGCAAGCGCTGTTAAAATGTGTTGGAGAGAACCAAAAAGAGAGGGCCAAGTCCCCTGCTACACAGGAAGGTAAAAAAATCCCACAGTTCATGCCATGGAGGAAAATTTCTTCATGATGCCAAATATGGCAATCAAGTTTACCCTTTAGAGAGGGGCAAAGGGTCAACCTATAGTCAGGAACTTCTGGGATGAAGGGCTAGTAGAAGCACTGACAATAGTCCAGTCAAAATCCCCAGCCTTGGTTAAAGCCAACACCCAGTAAAAAAAAAAAAAATTCTTCCTGGCTCCATGTGGCAACCAACAAAGCCCAGAAGCATGGGAAATACCCATAACAGATCATAGGCAAAAGCTTCTCCTAGATCAGGGGTGGGCAATTATTTTGGGCGGAGGGCGGCTTACTGAGTTTTGGCAAGCCAGGGGCTTGCCAAATATTAATTATAAAATTAATATTAATTTTCTAAATTTTTTAGGGGTCCTGTGGGCTGGATAGAATGGCCTGGTGGGCTGCATCTGGCCCACAGGCCGCATTTTGCCCACCCCGTCCTAGATCATCCCTGACCAATGCTAGTCCAAGGTACTCTTCTCGAGTACCTTCCACTACTTCCCTAAGCAGTCTATTCCACTGTATCACTCCTCTAACAGTGAAGGTGTTTTTTCTGATTTCCTACCTAAACCTACTTTGCTGCAACATTCCCAAGAAGCAATTTATATTAAGCAGTTATCCTTGAGAGCTCTTGATTTTCCTAATGTATTTATCAGGAAGGGAAGACTTCAGGGCAAAAAAAAGAATCAGATGAGGATTTAGGAGGTGGCTCTTCAAGCAGTTAGCCCTGAAAGTGTCCCATCTTGAAATTAGGGATAATGTGCTTTAGCTGTTTAAATCTTTTGCAGTATGTATAAAAGTGAGGCTGTAATAATTAAAGGCCAAAAATACAAAGGAAAAAAAAAAATCACTTAGTCACACTTTCTGTATGTTCTTTGTTTGGATCCAGTAAAATCTCATTTCTTTCCCTAAGGATATAGGAACTGTTTCTTCAAATGATGCCACATGATATCAAGGAAACATTTACATTTTCATGGTAGATTAAAGACTGCCTAGGCACATCCCCATAAGCACGCATGTGCGGTTTAGGCACTGCAAACCTATCTGTGGCGCTGCAAACTGCATAAACTGCATGTGCATGCATTCACTGGGAAATCCCAGTGTCAAAAAGACAAAAAACCCACTATTTTGGCACAATTATATATGGCTGCAGTGTGTGCCACATGAAACCAGAGCCTGGCTGGCCACAGCTATGCTCTGCACACCCATACTGCTGCCACTGCAGCCCCAAGACGCCCCCAGCATCTTAAGTAAGGCTGCTGGGGCCAGCCCAGGTGCTGGCTCCAGCCTCCCCTACCCCACCAGTTTGCCATGTGCCAGAGAACACGTGCAGTGGCATGCTCAAGGACAATTAGCAATATGTGCCACTCCTATTTATCCCTGGGAAAACATTCCTTTCCTGCTCCTGGGAACATGCCCTCTAAGTGCATTGAGACAAACTAGAAACAGAGTAAGGCTAGAAATGTTACTTTAGTTGTACCTCATTATAGAAGTAGAATACTGTTGTTTAAGTCCATGATCGCATCCAATTTTTGCCTTTCTAATCACTATTCCCACCTTTTTAGAAAGGAATTTCATAGCCAGGCACCAACCAAAAGGTCTAAAATGTAGAAGTAGCACTCCTCAAAACAAAATACAGAGTTGGGAAGCTTCTGCCAGTTAAACACTTATACAGGAAATCTATGCAACCTAGTAGATGAGTAGTGCTACAGCTTACTAACTTTTTGGGTTTTAGAATTAAATCTTAATATTTCCTATAATTGTACTAAAACACAGCTTAAAATCATGTCCTCAGTGTCCCAAACCAAATTAAACAGAGCAAGCCTTTCATTCTAAGATGTTTCTTGTTTTCACAAGTTATAAATTAAACAGGCTATTGTCTATATAAATGAATAAAACAAGTTATGAATAAAATAAGGCTATGTTGCCTTTACACAAAGCAAAAGCTATGAACTTGGTTTGTCTTACTGGTACATGATTAAACTATAATGGAAAACCTAAGCAAAAGAACGGCTACTTTATAGGAACACATACCATCCGAATCCACAGAAGGCCTTCTTGAAAGATGCACTTGAAGTTCTTTCTGAAACCGTGGAGGAAGTGTTAATCTTTTTTCTGGTCTAAAAAGGCAAAAAACACCACTTAATTTTAACTCCTTTTCCAGTTTCCAACAGCAATTCATCTACTAATGAAAACACTCTTAAAAATACTCATTTTATTATACATTATGTGTGTGTATGTAATATGTGACGTATTAGTTGGCCTTTTGTTCACAATTAGAATGAAAGAAATGCAAATATGTAAAATAATTAGAAGTTCTTTTCAGTAATAAAACTACTGGCATTTGTCAAGTTAAGAGCAAGAGACAAGGGAATTGCTAGTTTTAGAAATAAGAGGTGGAGAAATGAATTTTTTTTTAAAATGACTTCTTTTGAAGAAACAAGTTATGAAAAAGTCACTAACCTTGGGACTACAGTACACATTAAAGACAGATGTTTCTTAAGTTAATACTGTTAATGAGAGATGGGGTGAACATTACATATCATGCTGACACCAACTGTGCACAAGAACACTACGATCTCAGGTTGCAAACAGACATCCATAAACATTTTTATGGAAGTACAAAGACCAAGCAAAACAGACACTCCAAAAAGTTGTCCTCCACACAAATTAGGAACCAGCTTGATATTTTGTTTGGCTGCACCGTTCTTCTAGATGTCCAGAAATTTGAAGTCTCCCATTAGTACTATCCCATAGCTTTTGGATAAATTTTTTACCTGCTTGAAGAGTGCCTCATCCACCCCTTCCTGATTTGGTGGCCTATAACAAATCCCACTATTATATTGGTGCTGCATCTTTCACCTTTCCTCTTCACCCAAATGCATACTGTTGTGCAGTCTTCCTCCTCCAGAACTAGGGAACAAGTATATATGTTGGACATACAAGGCAACACCACCAGCTTTTCTCCCTACTTTGTCTTTCTGAAACAGAGTGTAACCTTCAATGTTGACAGTCCAGTCACAAGAGCTGTCCCACCAGGTCTCTGTGATGTCAATCAGAACCTATTTCTTTTCATGGGCCACAACTTCCAGCTCATCTCATTTATTCCCCCATCTTCTCACATTTGTATACATGCATCAGATATATTTTGCATTTTGATCTACTTGCTTCCCTTTTGTGCCACTTGCAGTCCTGTGGTGATCTGGCGCTTTCACTGAACCATAGAAAATTAGGGTTGGAAGGGACCTCAGAAAGTCATTTAGTCCAATTCCCTGCTCAAAGCAGGATCATCCCAGCCAAAGTTTTGTCTAGCCAGGTCTTAAAATCTTCCAAGGATGGAGCTTCCACCACCTCTCTGGGTAACCTGTTCCAGTGTTTTACTACCCTCCTACTGAGAATTTTTTTCCTAATGACTTACCTTGCTGCAACTTGAGACCATTGGTTTTTCTTCTGTCATCTGCCACCGAGAACAGTTTTAGTTCCATCCTCTCTGGAACCACCCTTCGAGTAGTTGAAGGCTGCTATTAAATCCTCTCTCAGTCTCCTCTTTTCTAGACAAAATAAGTCCAGTTCCCACAGTCTTTCCTTGGAAGTCATGTCCCCTCACGTTTGTTCTCACCCTCCGCTGGACTCTCTCCAATTTCTCCACATCCTTTCTGTAGTGGGGGGCCCAAAACTTAACACAGTACTCCAGCGTGCTGCAGCATTTCATGTATTCAGTGTCCCTACATTTCAAAATGGATTGTTAAATAAGGTGTAGTTAAAGCGCCCCTGCCACCAGTTTGAAATGCAGGACACTGAATACACAAGACACTGTGGGTGTTTTAATTAGAGCTGCCCCCCCAAGCACGTGTACAGACACCCTCTGCGTTGTCCTGAATTTGCGCTCCAGACAGACAGCACACCTCCCTTGACCCTAAATCTGGACAACAAATTGAAGCCTCTGTCCACCACAGAAGGAAGTCACCAATCCACCAATCACTACCACTCTTTTCTGTAGAAGCCCCTGTCCTTGGGGCCTCACATTTCCTGCTCTCTAGGCCGATGCCTTGTCCTCTCCATGCTTGCAGATGTCCCCTCCTCTGCCTTTTCCTCAGCAGATCCACCACAGAGTGCCTGAAAGCTGCTGCTGAATTCAATCCACTGCATTTCAATTCTGGGGACCCTCCTTCTTCAAGAAGATGTACGCTACCACTTCTCTGCATTGCCCTTTAGCCTCCCCCATTCCAGCATCTCTTGTCCAAGTCATCTTCTTGGTCACCAATGCAATGCAGCAAGGATACCTGTGCTTCCAAACTTTGAATCTTCTCCTCCAGGCAGACACCAACTTAGACATGGTGCAGATGAAGTGCTTCTGACTCTGGGAGGAACGCAAACATGGCACATCTGATGCAGGTCTCAACAGCTGACCCAGACTCCATTTGTGTCTCCTATGTTCTCTGGTGAACACCTCTGTGGGGGGAGAAAACCACACCACAGGAACCCACATACCAAACCCCTGTACCTGGGCCCATAAACACATGCAGTCTCTTATTCCTTGGCTCCCTATGGCAAAATCCCTCTAGTTTGCTGCTCATGCTGTTTGCTGGGGCTGCCTAGCCTAGCTCTACCTTTCAATTAGCTAAGCTAGTCCCACCCACAGCAAGTCTCGTTACTCTGTCACTTTATTGGGGGAGAGGAAAAAAAACGTATGTGTGCACCACCCCCTTGCCCCAAGTAAACACACTAGCACCAGACACCTAAAGTCACTAGCATCTAGAAAAGCCTCCTTAAGGCAGTCCCACTCCTGAGCTGCTTATCCCAGAGCAACTCTTCTTATTGCTCTCTTTCTATAGGGCTGCCTTTTTATAAGGTTACCTAGCCCCTAGCCTAGCCATTTTATGGACTTTAGATGGTTCCAAAAAACACAAAAAACTGAGTGTTATGTTGTACCCTATTAAACCTACTGTGCCTATTAACTTTGATCCTACTATTCAGGGCTGTAAGCTTTAGGTACACTGAGCATATCGCGGGATTGAGGGCTACCACCATGTGTCCCACCTTCTAGTCCTGGCCAGCTTCTCCCTGCTGGTCTCACAGTTAACCTCCCAGTCTTTGCCCTCTGCCCTCTCAATCATGTTGAGCTTGGGGGTACTTCATGGGCTCCCCCTTTCCATGGCCTCTGTCCCCCCTAAAGCCATTGCCCAAATTACCAACACGAGGATCACCCACAATCCTAAGCGTCAACTCCATTAAAAGCCAAAATGATCTGCCTCGGATTCATCTTACCCTGGGGCCTGATCTGCCTCAGATTCATCAAGTAACAAGCAAAAGAACAAATGAGTTCTGAAATGTATCCGACTCCCAATGCAACTGCCACCTGGAGCCACCGCTCCCCCAGCTCTGAGTTCAGTTCCTTTGTCTCTCTGCAGGATGCTCCTTTCCCTGTGACTCCTACAGCCAAACTGCCTCTCTGGTCTGCGGCTTGAGTTGATAATGGGTGAGGCAGGTCACCTAACTCTTCTACTTCTGCCACTGGGTCATCAGGAGATGACTTGAATCTGGACCCAATGCCATCTGGTTTCAAAATTCTCATTCTTGTCAGTGGGCTGCAGTAGCACCCAGAAAAATGTGAGCAACAATGACCAAAATAAAAAGGGAGTGAAAGCAAGAGGGCAAGGAAAGGGTCAGGGAAGGAGGTGGGGAAACCACACCCAAAGCAGGTAGGGGGACACACCCAAAAGGAAGGAATAACCCAGCAGATCCAAGAAAGGGCATGGGAGGGGAATGAAAGTGGAGAGAGAAAGTATGCGTGTGGGGGGGGGGGAAGAGCCCATGCACCTTTGCCCCTTTAGTAATGGGGTAGGGGCTATATTTTACTTGGTCATTAAGTTATCAGACAAATGAGTGGTAGCAATACTTTACATTTGAAGTTTCAGATGTGTAGATGGAATTAAATTACAAAACTAGACATGACCTGGGATTTTGTAAAAGGATGTCAAAAAGCACATGGACAAGGGGGATCTAGTTGACATAACACATTTGGACTTAAAAACAACATTCAATAAGGTTCCTCGCCAAAGACTTAAAAAAAAAAAGCAACCCTGCAATGCCACAGGATTGGAAGGAAGGTTCTTTTGTGGACTATCTAGTTAAAAGATAGAAAGCAAAGGCTAGGGCTAAATGGTTACTTTTCAGGATGGTGAGAGGTCAGAAATGGAGTGTCCCACAGGGATCTCTGTTGGGCAGGCCCTATCTTGTTTCACATTTTCACCAGCGACTGGGAAAACACACAGTGAAGTCTCCAAGTTTGCAGATAATAACAAATTACTCTGGGTAGTCAAGTCACAAGCAAGGATGTAAACACTGTTAAAAAACCCTATAATCATATTGGTTAAGCAGTTAACCATAACACAGCAGCTCAGACAAGGAGCTGATGCTGGGAGCCACTCTGGGGGCCCTTTGATAGGCGGAGCAGGTGGTGGTAGCAAGCCCAGCCAGACAACACAGCCTACATGAAGCAAGGCCCTGGCAGGGAAGGAGCACCTGTGAATAAGCAGCTAACTGTGGATTTGGGGTTTTTAAAAATCGGAGAATTTGTGATTTATTTTTTTAAACAGAAAAAACATACATATACACACACACACACACACACACACATATATCAATTGAACACAATGTTTTATTGATATATTTACAATTTTAAAGCAATTTGGAAGCCTACCAGTGCCTCAATCGCTGCAACAAAATACATCCTAAGTAGCCATACATTTTGGTATTTGATTTGGGGGGGGGGGGAATATATCATGGAAAGTCAGAGCTCCCCCTGCCCCCTTAGCTCACCAGAATGCAGATCCAGGCCCCCCATTCCCAGCTGCCAGGGCTATGGTGCCAGGGACCCAGGCCCACAGTCCCTTGCCCCCTGCAGCAAGCACCCGAGCCCTGGTTGCTACCTGTGGGAGGAAGGAACTGCTGTAGTGGAACAGAGTGCAGAGCCCAGCTCCCTCTCCCCCAGGGGTGGCATGGTGAACAGCGAAGCTGGGGGGAGTGGGGGGATGCGGGCTGCCCCCCTGCCAGTCTTACCTGCGAGACATGATTTCCAGGCTGCATGGCGGCCAGGTGCACATGTACACACACACAC